CCCAGCATCATCAGACCCCACAAACAAGTAGAGACAGTTCGGCTTTGTCCGGGCAGGAGCGCCGCGGGGCCGGCGGAGCGGGGAGAAGGGCTCCAGCCCCAAATCCCAGGCCTTGCACATCCACAGCAGCCACCAGACCTTCCTGCAGCTCCTCTCCCAACCGAACACACCAGAGGAGTCTTAATCCAGGCTCCAGCACCGTTCCTCCCCCCCACCCCCAAGCCTCGGGGGCTCCTCCTCCTGCCAGAAGCACCCGGGGGTTGGCAAAGGATGGGTGCCACCATCTCTTCTCCTTGGAAAGCCGCCTCCCAGAATCCCGTCGGTCTCTCCTGTCGCCTGCTGGACCCTTTAACCCTCAAAGCGTGCCCCCTGCCCACTGCCAAACCCCCTCCCCAAACTATTACAGTAAAAGGAAAAACCCGTACATTGAGACATACAGGCTGAGTCTCGGGTGGAGAGCGGGTTCCGTGCCCGGTGGTCCGGTGGTGGCCGGCAGCCCCCAGCCAGCGCTCGGGCACAGAAGGGAGCAGGATCCCCTCTCCCCTCGTGCCCCCCCGCCACGGCCACCCCCTGGCACATCAGGGCTTCATCCTGCTCAGTCTGATGTCCCGTTCGATTTCGAACTGCCTGTGATCCACGCGCTCCAGGAACGCCTTCCTCTCGATGTACCTGCGGGCAGACAGAGGCAGGGGCTGTGAGCAGAGCCCCCAGCAGCCCCCCACCCCCCCAGCCAGGGGCAAAGCCCACCCCAGGGGATGAGCAGGGAGAGAAGGTGTCATCCTCCTCACTCCCTCTCCCTCCACGAGCTGGTCACTGCACTGAACGTCTCCTGTGGACACCAAAACTGCTCCGTGGTGTCTCCTTGAGAGGTCTGGGGTCCCCACAGTCCCCACTGGAGCTATGGGTTGGCTGCTTCTGCTTCCAGCTCTTGCCTTACAGCTGAGAAATGACCTTCAGAAACAACCTGAGCGGGTTCAGGGCAGGTCCTGGGCAGGAGAGGCAGCTCTGAGGCATCTCCCAAACCCCACCGCGGAGGCACGGCCCCCATGATAGGGGCTGGTGATGGGCCCAGGGACACAAAGAGCATCACCCGCTGCAGCTCAGGGAGTCAGGCCAGGGGTTTCCCAGCCCCAGACCAGCTCCTCAACCACCGCTGAGTGTTTACTCCTCCCTCTCAGGCAGGCACCTGAGCGCTGGGAGGGAGAAGGCAGGCAGCCTGCGCCTGGAAAAGCACCTTCCCGCTCATTAACGGCGTGAGCAGCTGAATTTTAATGTACCCTGCTGCAAACCCTTGCCACAGATAGCCCGGGGCTGTGCTACTAATTAACCTACAGAGGGAGTGAAATTGCAATTCAAAACAGGAGCTGTAATTGAATCATCACAATTGTTTGGCGTTTGTTCCAGGGTGGCAAACGCCGGGGCTGTCACCACAAGGTCACGGCGCTGGTGGATGCAGGAGCCGCCGCGTCGGGCACCTCTCTGCCGGGAACCAGAGAAACACATTGCCTGAAAGCAGGAGGACCGGAGGCTGCAGGGAAGAAAGAGCAGCTCTGGGGGTTTTCCAGGCTCCCCGGTGGATTTCCAACTGTGTGGAAAGGTTGAAACCCCTCCTCCCACCACCAGCCGTGGTCCCTCTGGGATGGAGGGGCTGCACTGCCTTCGGTGACGGGGTCTCTGCTTGATGCTACAGACTTGACTGCGCTTTATGCCACTATTGAACCAATGCCACAGACTCTGCCATGCTTTATGCCACTATTGAACTGATGCTACAGACTCTGCCACGCTTTATGCCACTATCAAACCGATGCTATAGACTCTGCCATGCTTTATGCCACTATTGAACCAATGCCACAGACTCTGCCACGCTTTATGCCACTATTGAACTGATGCCACAGACTCTGCCACACTTTATGCCACTATCAAACCAATGCCACAGACTCTGCCACGCTTTACGCCGCTATCGAACTGGCGCCGATCGTGCTCCCAGGAGCAGGGAGGTGCCTTTGCCCTTGCTGTGAGGGACAGCCCTGACGCTCCTGCCCGCCCAGCCGTCACTGGGAACGGACTAATCCGCACTCATTTCTTGCTGCCACCCCCTTTCCCATCACCTCCCCAGCCCGTCTCGCACCGACACAACTGGGTCAGCTCCTCTCCGCCGGCTGCCAGGGGCTCAGCACGGCCTAACGCTGAGCTGCCTGCTGGGGGGGGGGGATTTTTCTGGCCCCCCCTCGCCATCAGGGGAGGGCCATGCACCGAGGTGTCCCCCCAGGCGGGCTCAGGAAAGGCCAGGGGAGTGTCACTTCCCTTCACCCCCACGAACCCGCTCCCGGGGGCCGAGCTCGGGGAGGCCACGGGAAGGAAGTGGAGGAACTGGGGGGGGGGTCAGGTTGTACACGACAGGGGCGTGTGGTTTTCCTCCCCCTCCGCTGCCAAACACCAACCCCAGTCACGGCCGGGGAAGGTGAGGGACCGCTGTTAACCTGGGGACAGCCCCCAGCGCTCGGGCAGCCACAGCCCAAGCTACTCCATCTGAAGCTCCTTCAAGTCGTGACTCCCTTCTTCCAACCCCAGCAAGGGGTCAGTGCCTTCCTCCTCCTCCTCCTCCTCCTCCTCTTCTCTCCATGCCTCACCAGCGGGCAGGGACTGGCTCCTGGGGGGATCGATACGGATCACGAGCCAGGAATGCGGTCTCACAGCTCTGCATGGAGGAGGAATGTTCCCCCCGTGGCGTTGGCCTTGGCCGGCCACAGAAAAGTGCCGTGGGGGCCAGAGCGCACCCCCACCCCCCTAAGGCCGCGCACACACCGTGGCTTATGGGGCAGGTAGCCCAGGAACAAGCCCAGCCAGCTTGTACTACAAGCATAAGGGGGCTGGAGGTCCTGATGGACACAGGCAGGGAAGCAGGTGGTCTGCAGGGTTGGTGTGCCCCAAACACTGTGGCTCCGTCTCCAGTTCCCTCTCTGGTTCTCTCTCCAGTTCCCTCTCTGGTTCTCTGGTTCCCTCTCCAGTTCCTTCTCTGGTTCCCTCTCCAGTTCCCTCTCTGGTTCCTTGGTTCCCTGCTTCCCTCTCCAGTTCCCTCTCTGCTTCCCTGGTTCCCTCTCTGGTTCCCTGGTTCCCTCTCTGGTTCCCTCTCCAGTTCCCTCTCTGGTTCCCTCTCCCATTCCCTCTCTGGTTCCTTGGTTCCCTCTCCAGTTCCCTCTCTGGTTACCTGGTTCCCTCTCCAGTTCCCGCTCTGGTTCCTTGGTTCCCTCTCTGGTTCCCTCTCTGGTTCCCTGGTTCCCTCTCCAGTTCCCCCTCTGGTTCCCTCTCTATTTCCCTCTCTGGTTCCCTCTCCAGTTCCCTCTCCAGTTCCCTCTCGGGTTCCCTCTCCAGCTCCATGCTGCCAGAACAGCAGTGCAAAGTGCAGGGGTGAGGCACAAACACCCCTCCTGCCCTTCTCCAAATAAATAACCTTTGCTACCCGAATCGATAACCCACCCGTAAATTATCAGCCCGTGCGGAAACAGGGCAGCTGCCACGCGGAGGAAGGTAAATTCGTTAGTCTCTGCTAACGAGGGCAGCTGTGAACCGCCCTGGGGGTGGGGGGGGTTTCATCGGTGTCCCCTGCCAGTCACCATCCCTCACCCAGCGCAGCCCGAGCGGGGCTGCTCCCCCGCTGGGTCTGCCCTACAAAAGTGGCCCAATTTAGAGGCCCCGTTTCCATTTTATAAAGCCCACGGGAGAGAGGGGGAGAGCTGCCTCCCCTCCTCCCTAACAACCCCTCCTGTGGAATCCGGGATGGGCCCTCGGGATCCATCCTGCTGCTGGGGGGGAAATGCAAATCCCTGTCAGGGGCTGGCGAGGGTGAGGACACGGCCACGGGGCAGCACGTGTCCCCTCTGCCTCAAGAATCCTGGGGCCAGGCCACGGAGCACGTGTGGCTACCAGAGAAGGGCTGGGGAGGTCCCAGGCACAAGGAGCTCTGGGCTGCAAACAGCACCTTCTGCAAAGTTACTGCAAAAAAATAAGAGAAATGGAGCCTGCCTTCCCTTCTGAGCAAAAAAAAATGCCTCCTGCCCTCCCCTGGACACACGTGGGCCATCTCTGCAGCGGGCAGACACCTCCAGGGGTGAGCTGTGGCTTTCCTCCTCAGGCAGATGGTTTTAATCACAAAGCAGGGCAGGCAGGGACCAAAGGTTCCTAACGCCCGTCGGGCACCGGGGATGAAGGCAGAGCCCTGCTCCCTCCCATCCTGGATGGAAGGGTTAACAACTGCTCCTCAGGGTTTTTATAGAGGTGTGTAAATGATTGCCTGCTGAAGGGTGAGCAGAGCCTGCGTTATCAACGGGGGAAGAGGTGGCTGCAGAAGGGACAACAAGGTTCCTGCAGAACGACCTGTGTCTGCCCCATCTGCGCCCCGAGCGACCTGCCTGCCCAGCACAGACGGTTTTCTGAGGACTCCCACGTTATCAGGGGGGGCTTCTCTTTGTGTAATGACAAAAATCACTTGCCAATAGCCCAAGCAGATTTTCTAGCCTGGGATGTGAAGGGCAGCAAAACCCAGAGCTGTCCAAGTTTTAAAACGCTCTTAAAATTGCTGTTTTGCTTTGCTCATCTTTTCTTTTTTTTTTTTTCCAGTGTGCTGAGCCCTTCTTCAGCCTTCAAGGACCATTACGTTAGTGTCTCCGGAAAGGTCTGCCAGGCGTGACGAGCGAGCTGTCCCCTGGTATGGGGTGGGAAAGGAGACAGCACTGCCCAAGAAAGGCTGACAAAGGTTTGCACAGGCAAGAGGTGCCACAAAACGCTCGCGCAGGGGTTGTCTGGGGTGCTCAAGGTCCAACTGAGAGCGAGATGGACCTTGATTCGGGCTGATTGGGGAAAGAAACAGTGCGGCCCAACAATCGGGAAGAGATGGTTTGGCTTTTAATGGTGGTACCACCACCTTCAGCCCGGTCTGGGGGAGCCAAAGGTGTTACCACGCTTGGCAGCCATTCAGGACATCTGCACAGGGCAAATGGTCGCTCCCCATCCCATCCAGGTGCCACAGCCAGGAACAGAGCCCTTCCCTGCAGGTGGGTTCTCCCAAAGCAGCCTGCAGCTCCTGCTGGTGCTTCATGGGGGAAGCTCACCCTCCTCCTCCTCCTCCTTCTCCATCTCAGAGGCCGGTACACGGCCTGGCTCTGCCTGCGGGCTCCTGGCACGGGCTGTTTCAACACAAAGCCTTGCCTTTGGGGCTCTGGCCACAGCAGCCAGCATTGGGGACGGTCTGGTGCACGTGTCCTCTGGCAGGTGATGCACATCACCTACCTCCATGGACCTCAGGGATCTGGGAGGAAGGCCCTGTCCCTCCCTCCCCACCACTCCTACGGGATTGCTCTACTCCTTCAAGGACAAGTGGCCAGAAACGAGATGGGGGCGGATCTGAGGGAGAAGGTGGTGCTGTGGAAGGGCGCGAGACCAAGCTGTAAAACCCCAACAGTCACCAAATACCTACTTGAAATACAAAATCCAATCGGGTGGAATGCAGAAGCCCTGAGTTTTTCCCGCAGAGTGAAAGAACAGCTTACAAGAAAAATGCATTTCATGAGCTGCCCACTAAGCCGGTTACGTTTTCCCAGAGCTTAGCAAAGCACTTGTAGTGAAAACGCCACTTCTGATCTTATTATCCTTCCCTGCAGTGCACGTTATTAACTTTCTGTGTTATTTACAGCACCGCCATTTAGTTTTACGATACTTCCATTAACTTCATTGGAGTGAACGTTGCTGGATGCACACAATCAGCACCCAGCGCTGCCATAATCTTTAAGGCACCTTTGCCAGCTGTTCTGGGTTTGCATATATCTTTACGTGGGAGGAGGGAGGACAGAGGCAGCTGGAACATGTCATTTGAAGAACGGAACAAAAAACATACCTCCCAATTTGAAAGTTTTTTTTTTTTAAAAAAAAACAAAACCCAACAAACAGGTCAAAGGCAATTGGGTTTCCTCATGGGAGCGCAGCATTAGACCGGGAGGGTCTAATTAGGACAGGAGGGAAAATAAAGCCCAGCCAGACTCTACTTGAGCTGGCCTTGAAGAGCTCATGAGGTTGTTAGCGGAGAGCAGTAGGTGCTTGCAGACCTACCTGTCCCCCTGTGGTACCTACAGCAGCCACCGGCTTTATGTGTCCCTGGAATAAATCCTGAAGAAATGCCAGGGGTTTGCTGGACTCTGCAGCAGGTGATGGAGTTCCTACACGTATAGGAAGTGGTGGGCTACTACCAGGTAAAGTCCCCCTTACCCGTCTTTGCCTCGGTTATGGATCGCCAGCTCCTCCACAATCCCCTCCTCCTCCTTGAAGTTCTCCCAGTCCAGTTTAGATTTCTCCAGCGTGCTCATCTTCTGCTTTTTGGAGCCGGGACTCTGCAGCAGGTGATGGAGTTCCTACACGTATAGGAAGTGGTGGGCTACTACCAGGTAAAGTCCCCCTTACCCGTCTTTGCCTCGGTTATGGATCGCCAGCTCCTCCACAATCCCCTCCTCCTCCTTGAAGTTCTCCCAGTCCAGTTTAGATTTCTCCAGCGTGCTCATCTTCTGCTTTTTGGAGCCGATCTTCCCCAGGAGGCTGCTCATGCCGCTTGGCCTCTTCACCCTGATGGAGATGAGGAAGGGAACGTTACTCAAATGTGGGGAGAGGGCGTCAAGCGAGCAGTGAAAAACGGAGCTGAGAAACGTCAGGAGTGAGAGCGGGGGCCTTGCTGGTGGCGAGCCACCTCCACTCAACAGATGGCCACCAACTCCAGGCAGCCTGCAAGGTCACACTTCCCGCAGATCCTGCTCCGCCGTTCCCTGGGAAGCAGCAGAGTTCATTACACACATATCTCAAGTGCTCCCTTTTTTTTTTTTTTTTTTTTTTTTTTTTTTTGAGAAGGAAGGGAACGTTACTCAGATGTGGGGAGAGGGCGTCAAGCGAGCGGTGAAAAACAGAGCTGAGAAACGTCAGGAGAGCGGGGGCCTTGCTGGTGGCGAGCCACCTCCACTCAACAGATGGCCACCAACTCCAGGCAGCCTGCAAGGTCACACTTCCCGCAGATCCTGCTCCGCCGTTCCCTGGGAAGCAGCAGAGTTCATTACACACATATCTCAAGTTGTCCCTTTTTTTTTTTTTTTTTTTTTTTTTTTTTTGTGTGTGCATGTGTGTGTGAAAGGGCTTTTTCATTTATCTTCTGAAGAGAACAGAAAGCTTTCAGGCCAAAAGAGATCATTAAATCATCCAGTTTGACCCCTTGTATATACCCAGGCCAAGCCATTCCACTGATCACCTCTGTGCTAAGCCCGGTTCTTTGTCTCCGGTTTAAAGTGTTGTTTTCTGGAAGGGATCCAGGCTTAGTGCGTCACCAGCGCTGACAACACATCTAGGAATTAACCGTTTCGCTGGTGTCGACACGCCTGTTCTCAAATGGATTTGGTCTAGCTTGAGGTCCTGGTGGAACTGCTGCTCCTTACTCGGAACCTAAGGCTCATTTCCCACCCCGTTCAGCAGGAGGAACCACCTTGGTCTTTCATCTCCTTCTTCTTAGAGGACCGAAATCCCACCAGCGTGGCGGGGCCCCCACGTCTCCCCTTTTGTGCTGGGAAATGCACACAGAGGCAGCGGGGTCAGCCGGGTTGCCCTCCGAGGAAGAACAATTCTCAGGGCTAGGAACCCGTAAAACAAACTCCTATTAACCCCTTCTTAAACCCACCCCCTCCCAAGGAGAGGGGAGCAAACAGCATCCCATTGAACTCTGGTGTTTACACACATTCCAGAGATAACTTCAGGTCTGCAGGGCCTTTGCCTCTGCAAGAAGCCGGAGAGGAAATGATTCTCGTTCCTGAGAGATGGAGGAATTTGGGGAACGGGGAGGGGGGCAGAGGGGGGAGGAGGTAGGGGGCCAAGGAAGGCAGCCAGGTGAGCTCGGCAGACGGCTCTCCCATCTCTCCTGCCCAGGGGTAGCCGCTCTGGGGAACGCATCCAAAGCTGTCCTTATCGCATCGTTAGCATGGTTTATGCTTCCATAATTTGCAAGCCTCTAAAGGAAAATAATTCCGCAGTTTATATGGAATTAGATCAAAGAAAAGAACATCTTTGTAAGCCTCAGTCAGAAGATTCTCAATGCAAGAATGGCTGGGATGGTCTCTTGGGGTTGCAGCTTCCTGACATAGATACATTTGGGCTACCAACCCTGGATTAAGGGCATCTTGGCAGGACAAAGCTGCCTGCCCTTCCTCATACTGCCCAGCCAGAGGAGCAGAAATACCCTCTTTTTTCTTCCAGTCCCTGCCCACTGCTGGAGAACGTGCCAACAGCCCACGCTGGTCACTCTGCGGGGACACAGAGCAAGCTGGATGCTCTTTTATTCTCCTTTAGCCCTGAACGTCTCATCACGATCACACAATAAGCCCTTGATCCTCGCTCAACCTGCGATTCTCTCTTAATTTTCATGACATGATGGCTCCTAGTATCCTTATCTGCCAGCAGCTGGAAAAGTGGTGAAAGGGAGGGGGGCAAAATGTGCAAAGATGGTCTCGGCAGAAGATAAAACCGGAGCGATTTGGTTCCCACACCTGGCTATCCATCCACGACTTCATGTGAGCCTTGCACAACCACCAAACCCAGTATCAGATGCAAGGGAGTGGGAGGAGAGGAGACAGGACAAGTAAGAAGGCAAAACCGAAGAAAATATTGGGCAAGCGTGCCCTGTGGCAGTCCCTGCCCAGCCTGGAAGGCAGGGCCTGCTCCTCCTGCCTGATATTTGCTTACGCTGCACCGGGAGACCTCGGGTTTTAGGGAGGGACTTAAAGTAAAGATGCTCTGAGACAGATCTAGAGAAGGGCTACGGCTGATCCAGCTGGCAACGCTCCTCGCCCCCCAGCCTGGCAGGCAGAAGGTGTTTAAATTAACACAAGGTATTCAAGAACTTATTTCTCTGAATGCGCTTCACAGAATCACAGAATCCCATGGGGTTGGAAGGGACCTCTGGAGATCATCTCCTCCAACCCCCTGCCAGAGCAGGTCCACCCAGAGCAGGTCCCACAGGAACGTGTCCAGGTGGGTTTGAATGTCTCCAGAGAAGGAGACTCCACCACCTCCCTGGGCAGCCTCTGCCAGGGCTCTGCCACCCTCACAGCAAAGAAGTTCCTCCTCATCTTTAGGTGGAACTCCTTATACTCAAGTTTGTGCCCATTTCCTCTTGTCCTATCCCTGGGCACCACTGAAAAAAGACCGTCCCGTTCCTCTTGACACCCACCCTTGAAGTATTTATAGGCGTTGATCAGATCCCCCCTCAGCCTTCTCTTCTCCAGACTCAAAAGACCCAAGTCCCTCAGCCTCTCCTCGGAAGGGAGATGCTCCAAGCCCCTCATCATCCTTGTAGCCCTCTGCTGTCCCCTCTCCAGCAGTTCCCTGTCCTTCTGGAACTGGGGAGCCCAGAACTTAACTTTCCAGACTCACTTGTGCTTACAATTCTGCCTCCCTTTGAAGTGGGAGAAGGAGGAGTGTAGAAATGAGGGGGTCCCATTGTCCCTAGATGTCTCCTAAATGGTTTTGGGTGCAAAAAACCCTGATGGCCTAAGAACCATCTCACCTGTTGAAGCACACTCACAGCAAACCTGCCATCTGCCAGGCCTTCGTGGGTGGGAGCCTCAGGCCGCTGCTCTACAGACCCTGCAGAAGGCAGAGCACACACCTGGAAAACCCACTTGAAGCCGTTTCAGGATCTCTCCTGGCTGCTGGAGGTATCCCTGCCCCACAGACAGAGCAACAAAGCAGGTTCAGGCAGGCTCGCACACGTCGAGACCT